AGCAGCTGGCCGTGGCGCTCGCCAGCTCCTCCGCCGCCGCCGCCGCGCCACCTCCGCCGGCCGCCGCTGCGCCTGCTGCGCCTGCTGGGTCGGCCGCCCCGCTGGACCGCCCCGGCGCCCTGCTCGTCGAGCTTGCCAGCGATCTTTCCTTCCTCTCGCCTCGAGGCAAGTTTCGTCTATCGCTCAACGAAGGCGCCGCGGTCCTGCATGGCAAGTCGGCCGAGATCGCGGTGCCCTACCGGCTCGTTTCACGCGTTCTCGTGCTCCCCGAGGCCTCGGGACAGGGAAGCCTGTGCGTCGTCACGCTCGCCGCTCCCGTCGCCAACGGCAAGAGCCAGGTCGGGCACCTGCTCCTGCACTCCAAGCCGGCGGAGCCCAAAGTCGAGTGCAGCCTCTCGGGGAAGCCGCTGTGTGGCCAGCCCGCGTCGGTCGTCAGCCAGGCGTTCGCCTCGCTGGCGGCGGTCGAGGTGGGGGGCATCGGCAGCTTCAAGCCCTTCGGCGGCCGCGCCGCCCTGCAGTGCTACGTCAAGGCGACCGAGGCGGCCTTGTACCTGCTCGAGAAGGAGCTGCTCGTCAAGGAGGCGTCAAAGGTGCACGTGATGCCGTACAGCCGGCTGCGCGTCGAGGTGCTGCCGCCCGACAGCCGGCGCACCTTTGACCTGCAGCTCGAGTGCGCCGCCGCCGACGCGCCCGCCGGCGCGCCCGCCAAGACGGCCCTCAAGCTCGAGCTGTCGATGCTGCCGGCGAACGAGTGCGACCGCGTGAGCGAGCTCCTGCAGCGGAAGCGCGCAAACGTGAATGGGTCCCTCGACGGCGAGGCGGCGTCCGCAGGCGCGGTTGGCGGCGGCGCGGCGGGCGGCGGCGCCGGAGACGATGAGGAGGAGGAGGAGGAGGACGACGACGACGACGAGGACAGCGACTTTGCCCCGTCGGAGGGGTCCGACGTCGAGGAGGAGTACGACTCGGACGGCGGCGATCCGGTCGAGGGGGGCGACGGGAGCGACGAGGGGGAGGAGGAGGACGACGACGAGGAGGACGACGAAAACGAGGAGCCTGCCGGAGAGGCGGAGGACAGCCAGGCGCCTGCCAAGCGCATCAAGACGGAGGCGGTTGACGCGTGACCGCGCTGTCCTGCTGCCTCCATGTTGCCGCTACTGGACCTGCACCGGCTCCCGCGCTCACAAGATGCGCGAGAGGGGAGAGGTCGAGATCAGCGTGATCTCCTCTGTCGCGTGTCGGCTCTACCCTCTACGGGGCGGCGAGCAGGCGGCGAGGCGATGCACGATGGCCGATGGGTCCCTCTCCCCAAGAGAGAGATACTCGAGACTCTCTGAGACACCTCACTCCTCCTCCTGGTTAAAATGAAGCTCCTCCTTAAAGTACTTTCTTCAATTTTCTTCGCGAGCCCTTTCCCCAAATACCCCACACATACATTTGATACACAACTGATACACAACAGAACACGAGCCGCGCGCTCTGAGTGTGTGCTGTGTGGACTCAGTAACACGCGCGGAATTCACCTTATCTCCCGAGCTCTCCCCCTCGAGTTCTCCCCCCAGAGACACCCCCCACCGCTCCCCCGCCCCGCGTCAATAACCAACACAATCTCGATGAACGCCGCATCACGCCAAGGCCCGCATCGGCACAGGCGTCAGACCGCAAGCGCCCTGGGAGGCGCATCGCCCGTCGCTCACGCACGGCCTTCCCCCGCCCGAGTGACCCGACCCGCTGATAGCGGCCGCCGACTCGCTACTACCGAGGCGGCGGCCCTTGAGGGTGGGCTCGAGTGGCCACGGCTGGGAAGGCGAGCGAGACTCGCCACGCCGCGTCAGAAGAACGGGTTGGCCGCCGGCGCGGAGACGGGTCCGAACGGGTCTTGCGCCGGGGAGGCCATCGGCGGCATGCCCATCCCTTGCTGGGGCATCGCGCCCATCTGCGGCGGCATCTGATGCGGTGGCATCTGCTGTGGCATCATCTGCTGCGGCATCATCTGCTGCGGCGGCATCTGCTGCGGCATCCCGCCGCCTGCGGGGAGGGGCGCCAGCGAGACGGGTGTGAGAGGGAGAAGCCGGCGATGCCCGCCCGAGTGCCGCTCTCTGTGTGCCCCTCCCTTCTCGACTGTGTTGTGGGGTGGGGAGACGGGGCTGTGCGCTTCTGGTCTGTGTGAGGGAGAGGGGGCGGGCGACGGAAGACGAGGGGGGGGGGGGGCTGTGAGGCGAGCGGCGCACCCATGCCACCCATCGGGCGCATGCCGCCCATCTGCTGGCCCAGGGGCATCCCGCCCATCGGCATTCCGCCTGCGACGGGCGGCGAGGCGTCGGCGGGTCAAAAGGCGAGTCCACACTGCACCCCGGAAATGTGGCGGGAACGGGCGGCGGCGGCGGGGAAAAAGAGGATGGCAGGGGGAAAGGGGGGGGGGGGGGGGGAATGGGTGCCCTTCATGCCCACCCCCTGCATGCCCATGCCCATGCCCTGCATGCCTCCCCCCATCGCCCCCTGGTGGGGGAACGGGTGCTGCATCTGCGGCGGCATCTGTGGCGGCATGCCGCCCGCGTAGGGGTTGGGCAGCACGGCGCCCGGCAGCTGGCCCGTCCTCGGCGGCGCCGGTGCGGCGGGCGGGCCGGAGTTGAAGAGCGAGTCGAGGTCGAGTCCGCCCGGCTTGGGCGCCGGCTCCCCGAGTTGTGGCTCTGGCTCCTCGGCAATCAAGTTTGGCTCGTCGGCGAGCCTGCCGGGGACGTGTCGTGGACGTGTCCTGGGCCGTGTGCCGGGGTGTGCCGGGGTGTGCCGGGGTGTGCCGGGGTGTGCCGAGGTGTGCCGGGGTGTGCCGGGGTGTGCCGGGGTGTGCCGAGGTGTGCCGGGGTGTGCCCTGCTCATGTTCATGTGCTCATGGCGAGCAGAAGTTGTGAGCAGGGCGAGCGGGTGGCACGAGCGAGCAGGCGAGGGAGGAGGCGAGGCGAGGAGGCGAGGAGAGGCCTGCGGGTGGTGTCTTCAAGCTTGGAGAGCTCCAGCGCACGGCGGAGCTGCTCCTCCTCGTCCGCCTCGGCGGCGGAGTCGGCGGAGACGCGCGGAGGGGCGCGCGACTCCTGCTCGTGCGTGGCCATCGACGCCGCCATCGCGAGCGCCAGGTCGATCTCCTCCTGCTCCTCGGCGGAGCGGCCGCCGCCGTGCGCTCCCGGCGGCGGCGGCGGCGGAGGCGCTCCGTAGCCGTAGCCTTGCGGCATCTGGGAGCCGTTGCGATGCACGCCCATGCTCGACGTGCGAGACGCGTCTTGGGTGAAGCCGGCGGGGGGCTCTTGGCCATGCGCGAACGTGCTGCCAAGGAACGCCTCACGCCCGTTATCCTCATCCTCTTCGGAGAGGCGCGACCGTTGCCGATTGCTGAGGCTGCGAACCTTCTGGTTCACGCCCTTCGAGACCACACGCTTGAGCTCGGAGGGCTTGGAGGGTAGCGGCGCCATGACTAAGCGAGCGCTGATGGAAGTGAGTTGCGCCAACAGAGACCTTGGCAGCGCAAAAAAATCTTGTATTTCGGCCAGAGGAGGAAATGACAAGGGTGAGAACGACGAGAGTGGGACGACCGCGAGGTGGCATGAAGGTTGCAGCGAGAATCGGAGAGAGACTGCGAAGAGAGATAGGAAGAGGCAGACTCCCTAGGGTGGGCGACGGCTAGCGCACCACACACCTCTCCTTAAAATCCCTGTGTGGTGGCGGCGTGCCGTCCTCCCATCCCTCCCTTGGGTTGTCTGTTTTCTTTCTTTCTTTCTGGCGGCGTGCCGTCCTCCCATCCCTCCCGTGGCTTGCGTGTTTTATTTATTCGCCTGCCCCCGTGCCACCGGGTGCAACCTGTCCTATACGAGAGAGGAATCCCTGGGACCCTGTCGTGTGGGTGAACCCTGCCCAGCCCCCCTCCGTGTCGCGATGCGCTCCCCGCTCCCGTTCCCCTGTGTCCCTGATCATCCTTACAAGATCCTGCTCGTGCAGGTGGGGACCCTGTCCTTCTCCCACCCCTCGAGCCTCGTTTGGCGTGCCCGTGTTATTTATTTATTGTGCGTCGCCCATCTCTCTCTCCCATCTCTCCTGGAGATGACTGCTCTATTTATTTGCTGTGCTTCTCGCTCGTGCGTCCTTGGAAGTTGTGCTGACCTCCTTTCACCTCCTGCTCTCCTATGCCACGTGGCTGTGTGTGTTTGGATTTCTATGTTTGCGATTTGGATTTTGGATTTTCCACTACACTTTGTTTATTTATTTATTACTATGCGATGTCCCTGATCGTCCTTACAAGATCCTGCTCGTGCAGGTGGGGACCCAGTCCTTCTCCCACCCCTCGTTTGGCGTGCCCGTTTTATTTATTTTATTTATTCTCCGTGTCGCGAGATGCGCTCCCCGCTCCCGTTCCCCTGTGTCCCTGATCGTCCTTACAAGATCCTGCTCGTGCAGGTGGGGACCCTGTCCTTCTCCCACCCCTTGTTTGGTGTGTCCGTTTTATGTATTTATTCTCGTTGAAGACGCCAGTCGTCAACGCGGGCGGCAGCCGCTCCTCCATGCGCGCAGAAGGCAGCTCTTTCTGCACGTAGTTCATCACAGAGGCAACCCACCCGTCGTACATCGGGTTGGCCACACCTGCGTCTGGCCACCGGCGCAGCTCCTCCTTCAGCCAAACGCGCAACGCCGTCGCGTACTGTTGGATGCTCTGCAGCTTGTACGGCGCGTCCTTGTACGGCCCCCACCCGAACGTGCCCTTCTTCTCGACCGGCATCATCATCTCCGCCTGCGAGAGCCCGTATGCCGCCGTGGCGTACAGCTGAGGATCAGCTCGGAGCTCCCGGCAGCCGCCCTTCTCCACCTCGCCGGTCATCATGCCCACGCAGAACTCGATGAAAGCGGACACCGCCGGCACTCGCGGCACCTCCTTGCCGCGCACCTTGTCAACAATGAGCTGCAGATTGGCCAAGCCGTCCTCCTGGGTCACCACCTCGCAGAACGGCGGGTAGCCCTGCTTTTGGCCCCACGCGTTCATGGTCAGCACGCGCTTCTCGTACTGCGCGGCCACCCGCTGCTGTCGCTCCTACATGGATCCACACACGCGTGAGCCCGAGCGAGGGAGTTGCTCTGGCTCCCTCACCGCCCCGTTGAGCACCTTGCCTTTGAAGCCGTCCGCCTTCAGCCACAGGTTAAACTTCACTTGGTGCTCCTTGTCGGAGGCGAAGTCCTTGCGGTGCGGCATCGTCACTACGGACACAGAGCCCGCCGGAGTCTCCCGGGCAATTTGTTCGGTGCCGCGCCAGCGGGCCTTCTTGATGAGCGAGTCGTGCTTCGCGGCCGTCGCCGCGATTCCCGTGCCGCCGCCACGGAAGGTGGCACGTGCTTTTGAGAAGCCCACTTTGCGGCCTTTGCCGCTTGCCCACCGCTTGGCTTCGTCGACGGGCGAGTGCCTTACCACACTCGCCTCGGCGTTACTCGAAGCTGCGAGCTCAGCTGCGGCCACAAGAGCGGCCTGCTTGGCACGCAGCTGCGTAATCGTCGGCCCGCGTGCGCGGCTCTTCACGGCCTGTGCCGGGGAGTTGGCGTTCACGCGCTCAATCATTATCGTCATGGCTGTGTGCGTGCTTCTCGCTCGTGCGTCCTTGGAAGTTGTGCGCCTCCTTCTCCTATGAGCTCGTATGCCACGTCGCCGCCTGTGTTTGGGTTTCTATGTTTGCGATTTGGAATTTGGTATTTGTCCAGCTCTTTGTTTATTTATTTCTTTAATCACCTGCCTCTGTGTTCGTGCGTCGCCCATCTTCTGAATATGATTATTAGCATTTGTTTTCTTTCTTTGGCATCGCTCGTGGTCGATCTAAAATCTGAGGATTCAGGATTGAGGCATCGCTTCAGTGAGGCCAAAGTGAGTTTATGGATGTGTGAGAACGGTGCGGGACACGAGGAGTCACGCGGACCGACTCGTCGGCGACTCTGCTGCACGCCGTTTCAGAATTTTTCTCAGCGTGAGCGAGACGTGGAAGAGCGCCACCGTCGGGTAGGACCTAGGACGGGTCTCGCGGCCCGGAGCATCGGAGTAGCCGTCGTGGTCGCGGCGAGCAGCGCCGGCCACTCCGGCGCCGCGTCGGCAACATGGGAGCATGTCCACCGCCACTTCGCGGTCGCAGCGCTGTTTGTCGCCCGAAACGCCGCACTGACTGCGCACATATCCCTCTGAGTCTGTCGGGCCAAAGATCGACTCGCATGTCGATTTTGACTCGACGGCGACATGGAGGCATCACGTGTCCATGCTGCCGTGTGTATAGAGCCAGTAGAGACCTCTTGCTAAGACTCGTAGGTCGTAGAGAGGAGGATCGAAAGGAAGCAGGCACACAGCAGAAAGAGAAAATAAGATGCGTGTCTCGGCGAGTTTTATTCGCGGTGCGTGTAAAAAGCTCGAGTGTAAAGAAGGATGAGCCCCTACGTAAGAGAGTGCGTCGGTCATAGTCCGGCGATTCCGACGCCGAGCATTCCATTCGGGCAGCCCGCGTCTGCGAGCATGTTGGACTTGACCAGCTTCTTCGTGATGCCGTTGTACTCGCCGGGGTAGTCCTCGCCCCAGGCGAACCCATCGTGAAACTGATGGTACAGCTCGCCCAGGTAGAAGGGGTGCGAGTTAGTGTCCATGACGAATGCCACGGCGCGCGCGTCTGGATCGCCGCCCTTGCCCTTCGCAAAGTCGAGCTTGTCGCCGTTCTCTCGGCTCGCATCAACCAGCTCCTTCGCCAGCGGTGAGCCGCCGCCGCCCGGTATGCCGACGACGTTCCGGTACTCGAGGCCGCGGTCGCCGAGCTGGTCCGGCCGGTTGCCGTCCTTGTCAAAGAGTTTCACGTACTCCTCGGCGAAGGCGCGGAAGGAGGTGGGAGGGATGCGGAGCCGCACCACCTCCGCGTGGCCGAGCGAGCCGTAGTCCGAAATCTGTGCGGCGTTGTGGTAGCACACCTTGCCGTCTTGCATGCCCGAGCCGCCAGCGTAGCCAGCCCGTGATGTGATCTGCAGGTCGCTGCGGCCCAAGAGCTTCTTCTCCGCCATCACAAACTCGTGCTGCACGTGCCAAAAGCAGCCGCAGCCGAAATACACCTCGATGTCTGACGAGTCGTCCGCGACTGCTCTCCGCGACGAGGCAGGCAGAGCGAGCGCGCCGGCGAGGACCGCGCGGCGCGAGGCGCTGAGCGGCGTGCGGAGAGCGCCGACGTCGGCGATCGAGAGGAGCAGGAGCAGTGCTTGATGCGACATGGTGAAGAAGCGTCGCGGGAAAAAAGAGAAAAGCCGAAAAAATAGCGGAGTGGCGCGCACTGCACTAACACAGGTACACTCGGAAAAAAGAATTTGCAGGCCACTGGCTCGAACTGGCACCTGAAAAGAATTGCGCCGACACGCGCGAGCGACGGCTAGCACGACACTCCTCTCCTTAAGGTCCCTCGGGCCAGTTTCTGGCGGCAAACCCCGCCCGGCCCCTAGAACCCCGGGTAAGGCCCAGGTATGGCCTAGGGCATCAGAAGGGACCAAGAGGAGTCCAGTCTGAGCCATAGAGCCCATCGATAGAGCCCATGTCTTTGCCCCCGAAGGTCGCGTTCAAATGCCCGGAACGGACGTTACAGTGGTGTCCGGCCGGCGCGATCACCGTACACCGAGCTGTGACGCTCAGGGAAGCCGGTTGAGGTGCTGGTTTCTTTGGCCAGGCCTGGCCTACGGCCCGTGCTGGATCAGCTGAGCAAGGTTTGGGGAGAATCCCCCATTCAGATCTTCAGATATTTTGACGGATGACCGAAAATGGGCAAAAACGGGCGCAAAGTACGACAGGATCTCGTCGCGCTCACCAAACTGCGAGGAAGTCTCGGGGGTCGGCAGGAAAGACGGGTAGTAGGTTGGCACCTCGGTGTCTGTCCCAGCGTTTGGAAAGTGGTGGTCGCGCCAGGTGCCTCCTACAGCGCCTGCAGGGAGGCACGCCGCCAGGCACGTTGCGTTACACGCTCGAAGGTGGCAGGGGATTGAGGCGAGAGGCTGGGCATAAGTGGGGTCTCGGCTTGAGAGGCTGGCCATAAGTGGCGTCTCGGCTGAGCTCTGTGTGGAGCGTGACACAACGTGTTGCCGTGCAATGACAGAGCTGCCGCTGCCGCACCGCGATGCGTGAGGGGTGTGCAGTCGACTGCGTGAGGCATCTAGATGCCTGGCCGTGCGCACCCTCGTCGACGACGATAAAGGAGTCTATCCCCTCCTTTTTGAGGTAGGCAGCGGCGACTAGCCCGCTCAGGCCAGCACCAATAATGACGATGTCCACCACGTTCGTTTCGGGGCCATAACTGGACGACGCTGCGCCAGTCGGCATCTCCGTGGCGGCCTTGAGGGTCGCAGAACTCTGGGAACGCAACCTCTTATCCGTCGTATCCGATTCGTGTACTTCGGCGACGGAGATTCCCGCGTTTTGCAAAGAAAAGTTTCCTCGTTTGTACGAAGTGAGACGGAGTGATCGGGAGACCGCGAGGCAAGGGATCGGCAGGCGGCGGCGGCGTCGCATGACGAGGCAGAGGAGAGCGACGCGACAGAAGACGAAGCGACAAGAGAGAGAAGCAGAGAACGAGTGAACGACGAGAGTGGGACGACCGCGAGGTGGCATGAAGGTTGCAGCGAGAATCGGCGAGGCACTGCGAAGAGAGATCGATAGGATAGGAAGGGGCAGACGCCCAAGGGTGGGCGACGGCTAGCACCACACTCCTGTCTCCTCTCCTTAAAATCCCTGTGTGATGGCGGCGTGCCGTCCTCCCATCCCTCCCTTGGGTTGCCTCTTTTCTTTCTTTTTTAGACGGAGTGATCATTGAGACACGATGGAGACGCTGAGAGTGAGCCAAGAGCCGCTGGGACACTCACCGCTGGGGTCCGCGATTGGGCGTCGGATCAAAGAAATCCACTCCGCCCCGCTGTACACTGTAGTCGGCCCCGTGAACCTTCACGGGACTCTCACAGTGTGCTTTGAGGGCTCCTCTGAAGAGTGCGCGGGTTGAAAAAAATCGCCGCGGGCTGGCCAGCTCACCCACAACTCGCGGCTCCACTGCGACCGACTTACGATGGCGGCCCTCGCTGCCGCCCTCATGAGTGCGGACGCCTCGGTCCTCGCTTTGAGTGGCCCTCTCTCCCCTGCGACGGCCGGCAAGGGTGCCGACGCACAGGTGGACCTCACCCCGATGCCATACTCCCCGCCAAAGCTCAGCTTTTCCAATCCGTACAAGGCATACGCGGGCGGCAACATCCCGGGCTGGGAGTATGGTGGCGAGACTTCGCTCAACAACGACTACATAATGCTGACGACTGCGACGTCCAACAAGTTGGGTTGGATCTGGACCACGGAGCCCATCGAGATCGACGACTGGGAGGTGCAGCTCGAGTTCCACATCGGCGGCGACCCGCGCCAGTCGACGGGAGGCGGCATGGCGGTCTGGTTCACAGAGCAGCAGGGGCGCGCCGGCGCGATGTACGGCCAGAGCGACGACTTCCGCGGCGTCGGGATACTGTTCGACTCGTACGGCGGCGGCGAGAGCGGCGAGCGAGTCGAGCCCTTCGTGGTCGCCGTCCTGAATGACGGCACGAGCATAGACGAAGGAGCGCACGAGCAGGCGCCACCTCCGAGAACCTTCTCACCAGCCTTCTCGCGGCCGCACCCCGCACTCGCTCGCCAAACCCGCGGCTGCAGTCGTGCCGCTCCTCTCGCAACCGCCCTCTCGCCGCCTCTGCTGCGAGCGCCGCCCTTCGCCCGCCCCGCGTGTGGCGTGTGCCGCCTCGCCGCGAGCCTGCCGCTGCGCGCCATGGAGTCGAGCAGAGCCAGTGAGCATCCCGTTGGCACCGCCCCACCCTCCCGCCCGAGTCAAATCCGGGCGCAGAGCCGAGTCGCTTCCCGAGGGGCCAGGTGCGGCCAGGTGCCGCCTCACCACGCGAGGCCACCGCCGCGCGCAGGCGGTCGAGCACCAGGTCGGCATCTGCTACGCCGCCTACCGCAACCTGAAGAACATCGTGCGCGCTCGCATCGCGTGGACCAACGGCCAGCTCCGCGCCTGACCCGAACCCCGAACCCCTAACCCCTAGCCCAGACCCTAACCCCCTACCCCTACCCCTAACCCCGAACCCCTAGCCCGTAACCCTGGCCCGGACCCTCCCCTCCCCTGACCCTAACCCTGACCCCTACCCCCTAACCGGACCCGGACCCTGACTCTCATCCTAGGCCAGCTCCGCGTCTGGCTCGACCTCACCTCCTCGAACCACTTCCAGCCCTGCATCGAGACGGTGGGGCGGGCTGGCGCCTAGCCGGCTGGGTCCTTCTAGGAGCCGTCCAGGAGCCCTCTCGGACCCTCTGCTAGGTGAACTTGCGCGAGCTTGCCAAGCAAGACAAGCGGTACCGCGCACCTCTCCGAGACACTTCCTAGACACTTCCTAGACACCTCCTAGACACTCGCAGCTTGCCAAGCAAGACAAGCGGTACCGCACACCTCTCCGAGACACTTCCTAGACACTTCCTAGACACCTCCTAGACACTCGCAGCTTGCCAAGCAAGACAAGCGGTACCGCACACCTCTCCGAGACACTTCCTAGACACTCCTAGACACCTCCTAGACACTCGCAGCTTGCCAAGCAAGACAAGCGGTACCGCACACCTCTCCGAGACACTCAC